TGTAATCTATATTGAGCATTCACAGAATTTATTTATGCATTCTTGGTTACTTATACGACATGGTGTATTCGATGAATACAGTACAATTGATGCACAACTTTAACTGCAAATAACTTTTTAAAAAATGATTTTATGAAAAAAATTATTATGACCTTTTTTATAGAGAGGAAAATTTTGTATTGGAATATCACTATTTTGAAGTTGTAGGTTTATTTACTTTGTGGTTAAAATGTTTTATTGCAAAAGACCAAAAAATACCAAGCAAAATATATGGGAAAAGTAGAGTCATTTATAGACTGGTGCAGAAAATGAAAAGAAAAATAAAATAATTTGTGTGTTTGGGACCTAAGAATGTAAATTTGCATCAAATTTCGCGAAATAAAAAATTTTTTTGTACAAGATAAAAATAAAAAAATAAAAAAACAGAAAATTTGTGGTTTGTTTTTTTTCACATAAATTTTGAGGTTATGTAAAAAAAAGTCGATATACACAAGTTGAAGATCTTTTCATTTCCTACAAAAAAAATCTATATAGTTCGTATCTACTCTAGTCTATTAGGCAGTTCAAAGGTTTACGTTACGTTAGTTTTAAATTAAAAATAAAGAACTTCTTTACGTTGCATCGTCATTTTTAACGCAAAAGCTGAAACTTAAGCAGGCGTTCGCAAACAAAATAATTAACTTGCGACAAAACGGACACTCTAATGTATATATATATATATGCGTGTTATGCGTTGATAAATTGTAAATTATATAAGAATAAAATTGTATATACCATTGTCTTCCCTGTCCAGTCGAATTCTCCATCATCCACATAGCCTTTACGATCGAATAAGTCTTGAAACAGTCTTCGCAGAAACTCATAATCGGGCGTTTCAAAAAAATCTAATCGCCGCACATAACGTAAATATGTAGCAAATTCTTCGGGGTGTCCATCGCAAAGCACCTGCAATTTTTTTCAAACACAAAAAATTAATAACATTTTCATTTAATAAAATTGAATTTAGTTCACCTCAATGGGTGTTGCACGTTTTGTATCACCAATTTTTTGATATCGTTCTTTAAGTGTATCAGCCTTAAGGCCTTGCCACGGCAGTGAACCTCTTAAGAAATACATGAACATGTGTCCTAATGCTTCTAAATCATCGCGCCTTGATTGCTCTCTGCCCATATGTGTATTTATTGACATATAACGTGCGGTGCCGGTGAGAGATTTATGCTCCCGATATGGTATATGCCTATTTGTATCTAAATCAATGTATTCTTTGGCCAAACCGAAATCTGTGGATAAACAAATTATATAAAATTACTTTTTTTTTTTTAATAAATTGAAAATATTTTAGTGAATATAATGTGAGCCCTAAAGCTAAAATTAAATCAACTCAAAATGCATATTTGCAATTAAAGTGCAAATACATTTTCCTAACGACAAATAACCTGAATATCTCGCATATATGTATGTACATATGTGTGCCTTTTAATATTATTTTAAAATTATTTTCTATATGTTATGTATGTATATATTTATATACATATACATTTGTTAAATCACAATTATATAACAACTAAATTAGTTAGCAAGCTAAAACTTCCAAATTGAATTTAAAAATTCTGCCAAGCTACCTATACACAGTTACTGTTATACACAACAAAGTTTTATTTTARACATTGCATACCTTTAGGCGCCCAATGTAAACTGCCGACTGCCGACTACCTTAGAGTTTTACCAGCCTCGTAAACTGTATATCAATTTACAACATACATACATGTACTCGTAATTCAAGAAGTAACTTCTCAGCCAAAGGTATCATAAAGTAGTTGCCTACATGTAGGCGTATTCATAATTTTTGCTTCAGCGATGGCCATATATGCATACATTTTGCATGTATTTTCTTGCGAATTTGCAGAAATATGTAGTCAAATTTAACAAAAAGTTAATTTGTGACCCCAAAAGTATGCAACATTTGTGTCGAGGAAACGTTTCTTTAAGATTTTTTAGACCAATTGTAAATAATTTCAACATTTTTAAATGGAATTTAAGTTAAATAATAACTTTTTCGATAAGATATATTCACAAAAAATGCATTGTATCAATGGGGCCGTAAGCAAGCGCGCTTAAAAGTAAGCAACATGCTTTTTGAGATTCGACTACATATTGTAAGTTCTAGAGAGCTGTATAAATATTACAAACATACAAAAAATTTAACATTAACATCTGTGTCTAACAATAAAAGTATGCAAATAATTTTATTTTTTTTATATTTTATAATGAAAATTTATTAGAGCCCAAAAAAAGATTAATTCCAAACAATAATTTTTCGTTTAAAAATTAAGTTTCACGCATTTAATTTTTATGGTGAGCCTAAAAGTATGCAAAATATTTTTGCTTTTTCTTCCTTCTTTATAACAAAATTTGTTTAAAATTCTAAAAAATTATGTTAAACGAAAATATTTTGGCATTAAAAATAGAAGACTTATCATAAACATCTCAAAATTGCCCTAACCACAAGTAAAGTAAAGCTTAAGTACTGCAGTCCTTAAAATAAGTCTTATCCGCTGCAATAATTTTTATTTTTGTTTTAATAAACAAATTTAATTTTTTTCTAACCCTAAAAGTATGCAAATATTTTAGTTTTCTTTTCTTATTTTATAAATAAAGTTCTAAAAAATTCAGATAAATCTAATGACATTCAAATAGAGGCGTTATCGTAAACATCTCAAATTTTCCCTAACCCTAAAAGTATGCAATAAAAAATATTATAGCTTTATTTGGTACTGAAAGTTTAAATAATGTAGTCCTACAATCATTCTTATCTTAAAGATAGAGACCTTAGCATAAACATCTCAAATTCTCCCTAACCCTAAAAGTATGCAAYAAACAATAATATCACATTAATTACTTTTAATACTGCAGTCCTTAAAAGCAATCTAATCTACTGCAGCCAGTGAAAAAATTAGAGTTGATAGCATTACTTAAAATACTTATGTTAGTAAGCCTCAAACTTTGCAACAGGTTTTTCTCTAAATCTTACGAATATATGCAAATACATTTCATACTTACCAATTATGTGTATAATTTTTT